CTGTCCCAGCTGCAAACGAGCAGTGGAGTCCGGGCCTTTGTGAACAGCTCTATGGTTTGAACCTAATACATGACTAATGTGCCTGTTCAAAGGTATTCGGCGGGAATCACTGAACCGCTGTTGAAGCTGCAAACTCACCACAAAGAGCTTATCAAGCACCAGTCTGATGCAATTGCGGACAGCCCGAACAGGCTTGGGCTCGAGCGCACACGGTTTGCCATGCAGCACTTATTTTTCGAAGCGGCCTGCAGGACGCAGAAGGACCGGCTGGTCCACCTTTTCATTGAGATGACAAAGCAGGATTTAGCAATGAACCTGTTTGTTGTCAGGGCCAAGTCACTTCCTCAGGCAATGAATCTCATCCACAGTGAATGAATAAGTGCAGATTATTTGCGCTGGAAATTAGAAGCGCTACTGTCTGAGGACTTGGAAGCCTCCTGTTAGTGAGGAGGAGCGCAAGGCAAAAGAGCAGCAAAAGAAAGACAAAGCTGCAACGAAGAAAAGCAAAGGGAAGAAAGAAAAAAAGAAAAGAAAACCAAAACAAAAAAGGGTTCAACCAAGAAGGGTCAGGAAGTCAAGAAGGAAGCCTCGGAAAGCTCTGCAGCATCAAACGACTTGGAGTCTGAAGAGCCCGATTCCGTCGAGGAACCGTTCCTTGTCTATGAGCTACACATGCATGAATGCATGAACCATGCATGCAACCTTGTGCGCCATGTGCTAAGAACCACGTGTGTGAGTTCTTGGGGGCTCATTTGTCAAGGCCTAAGAAAAAGGCAAAAAAGTGAGCGGGATGGCCTACCCCACCGTACAGACTAGTTTTGGACCACGTGTGACCACGTGCATGGCTTTGCCAGCGATGTCTAAAAAGGTCTACCATATGCTTTTCGGAAGAAGCTTGCTGATCCCCTGTGACACTGGCATGTGGTGGTGCAGTTCTTGGCTGAGTAACTATGCATATCAGCTAGTGAGAAATAGTGTGAATGTCAATGTTCGGAGGCCTTTTCGACGATGAAGGTGCGGGATATATTAGTTTGTCTGTCCATGTAACATGTGTGATATTGTGTGATAATGTTTGCTGCTGTGGTGGCCTTGTTGGCAGGTCGAAGGAAGCAATCACGATCCAGCACCCGCAAACGCAAACGAACACACGAGGAATTTCGACCCTTTGCATGCATGAAGCCTGTGAGTTTGGCAAGTTGTGTTTGTTGGAATGCTAACCATGACTGGTCAGGAATAGACCTCAATGATGTCACCAGGCGAGGTGACAAAGATCATGATCTGGATATCGTCCTGCTCGATGCGATGATTGAAGGGTTTGACACAGGAGTTTCTTGGTTGTTTTATGAGGCACTGCTGTAAACATGTTTCTGTTGCAAACTCCTCCCAAGCCGAGGCTGACTCGGCAAGGCATGTTGTATCCATGGGCCAGCTCTTTGACCAAATGCGAATGCCAGGTGGAGGTCGCTTGCTTAAACCTGATGTTGAGTTGTATGTTTGGGTCAACCCCTATAGTAAAGAGTGCTGTCTGATCTGCCTTGCGAAGGCAAAAGTCACTTGCTTGCACGAATGAAATCGTGGACCAACAAACACCATTGGGCCAGAAATCTGCACCGTTTGATCTTTAGATTCGGCATGACCCTCAATGTGCTTATCAGCGTCTTTGAAGTTCCGGCCACCTTCAGAGGAAAGCTGGTCAACACACCATGGCCATGTCTATTGTTCTCAAGCTGGGCAGAGACCATCTTCAGCAAAACTGAAGGACAACCGTTGTTGAATGGCCATACTTTGGCCAATGAAGCAGCCTGGCGTGGAGACCTGCGCCGGTTCTGGAAGCAATATCGGGAAGGATTTTCTCATCCAGTTTTTCGAGACAAAGCGGCTTCTTTGGAAACCTGTATACCGTGCTGTTTGCATGGTGATGAAGGGAGAGGAAAGCATCGGCGTGCAGTCATGGTAACGTCCATACAGCCGTTGTTACAGGGAACAGGACACTCTTTCACTAGCCGCTATCTATTCACAGTTGTTCCATCTGAATCCTATGCCGATGACGCTACATTTGACATGCTGCAAATGGAGCAGATTGCAGACCTTCAGCGGTTGTATGATGAAGGCATTGAAGATGCTCGGCTCCAAAATAAATGTGCTATTGAGTTGCGCCTTCCTGCCATGCAATGTTCAAGGTCACGATGCCTGATGGCACGACGCGTCGATTTTTCTTTGTGCTGTGTGGGGTAAAAGGGGACTGGCCATACCTCCGTGGCTTGGCCTGCTGATTCCTTGTTGCACCTGCGCACATGTGACTCTACTTTAGTTCTTCTCTGTGGCTGGGTGCTGATTGCGAGGAAAGTGCCACAAGTTGAGCGCAGGTTTTGCCTCCTTAAGAGTTTGCCATTACTGCTCCGCGGTTGACGCCTAGCCTGATCTGAACAAAGGTTCACCATGCATGCTATGAATTTGGTTGCCTGCAGGGAAGCCTGCTATGCTTTGCATTTGTTTGAGGACTGGTTCAATATGAAGCCAACTGCTTTGTGGAGGCAGCAGCGACCTCATACTCGAGCTGTGAAAGGTTTTGTCAGCCTGCATGCGCTTCCTGGAGGGCACGAGTGTGTTGGTTGTCCAGACCAAATGCATACATGGCACCATGGATATGGACGTGAATTTGCAGCCAGTGCTATAGCTCCTTTCATGAATATGTCAGGGACCTGTGTGTTTGTTCCAATTCATGTTTTTGACCTGCATGTCATTGGCAACTTTCAGGTTCTCTTAGCCTGTAGATGGCGTGTGTTTGGTGGCAAAACCATTGATGATCGCCTCGAGAATGCCTTTGACAGCTTTACTTCTTGGAGGATCGCTACGAAAACCACGACCTCACTGACCAAGTTTGAACTCAAGACCTTCAAAATGGATTCGTTGCTTGGCCAATGAAAAGATTGCCGTGCGCAAGCCAATTTCTGTGTATGCTGTCTCTGTTGGCAGGCTGGACACCTGGCCAGGAGCATGTGGGAAAGCTCATGACACCACCGCACTGACAAAATGGATGCTGGATCTTGTGTCAAAGGCTGACTTTCATTATGACCATGTGCCCTGCCTGGTGTTACCTGTTTCATTTGATGTTCTTGTGGAATTCATGCATCCCAAACCACTAGCATGCTGGATAAGGTGGCTCCTGCTGATGTCCTGGGCCTTCTCCTCTACACTCTCCAGAACATCAACCTTTATTTCACCAGTCTTGGGAAGGAGATGTGGCTGGAACGGCCAGCGGCAATCACTTGCATAGATGCCTGTCAGAAAATGACAGAATCTCGGTGATACGATTTAGATAACTTATGGGTAAGCATGGAAGCACCACACACTATTATCGTGCGTAGTTTTGTCTCAGGAGGGATGTGCTGCTTTGTATGTTTGGGCCAACGGGGCAGGCTTCAAGCTTTTCAAAACAAAACCCAAGCTGCACATGCAACAGGAGATTTCGATCCTTGTTTGCATTTGTGAGGGCGCATATCATATCCCCAGACATTACCACATGAAAGGCTGCCAGCCTAGGGAATGGATGGGAGATCAAGTACGACGAGGTGCACATTTCATCTTGTCCCCAAACTGTGTCCTGGCTACATTGGTACAGCTAAGCAAGCACACTGTTTTATCTGTTTTGCAGCCATGCATGCATGCATGCTTGAACTGTCGCAGCCAAGAGGAACGCGCTCGTTTGGTTCTGTTTTGCGCAACCAGTGTTTGTCAGGCTACGCCACGTGGCAGGATGAAGACTACATAGGAAGGGTGTCCTGACCGCATGAAATATGACAGTGTGCATGTCGATGTTACATGGCGAACATGATCATGCGTGATTTGATTGTTCTTGCATGGTGGTGTGGTACTTGCATGCATTATTGTAGGTCGGTTAACAAACACCCCCCGTGTGTTGCATGCATAAATCTCATGAGTGGATGCTTGCATGCATGGTCGAAGGCTCACTGTTTGCGTGCATAGCTTCATGTGAGGTGCATGAGGTGATGACGCTTGTGCATGCATGGTTTTGCCTGTGCATGCTTTCATGCATGATTGCAACCCAATCCTGCAGGTTTGCCGAACATCTCGACGTTGTCATGCTTGGAGTTTGGCCATTAGAACGGCACAAAGATGTCTTGGACACTACCGAAGAGTGTGGTGCAAGAAACACTGGATCAAGCGTGCAGGGTGAAAAAAGTTCAGGATGACACTTGGGTGATCATGGGAGTGGCTGGTTGGTCAATACGTACATCCATCTCGAGCACATATTTTGGGAAGAACCTAACTCGAGCACAAACATGTGACTCGAGCACAATTATAGTGGTACACATTTTTGTGTACCAACGGGGCCTACAGGTGGTTAGAACATGTAAACATCTTGGGACTCTGCTTGCTGTTCCAGACGGTGGATCTCCTGGTCCTAGCCTTTCAAGTATGTGCCGGTCTTGTGTGCCGGGCGGAGGCAGATGTCACACTTTCACAACAACCAAAGGAGTTATATACACTCCTGCCTACAATAATCATGGAAGTGGATGGCATGGCCCCTTGGATGACCATTTTCCTCTACAAATAGGTGGTTTTCCACTTCCATGATCATTTCAGGGAGTGTATCCAGAACCTGAGAAGTCGTTCAAGGCGGAGCGACTAGACCTTTCATCCTGAGTGGTTCCCGCACACCAGAGCTCGGGCCGGATCTATAGCTCCTTGGTGCACGGTGAGACTGCGGGTGGCGGTGAACCAAGCCAGGTCCGTTCCTAGCATCGAAGCGAGGGAGTTCGGGAGGTGGATCGCCTACCAAAATCTCTTGGTTTCGAGTCTTGTTTCTACCTTTTTGGAGGATGGAGTAGTGGCTGCTGATCCAAAACACTTATTTTAGAGTGCCTAGTTAATCCTGTACAGGATGCACGATCATACGTGGACTATGGTTATGTTGAGTGGTTTGGGAGGCTTTGTAGAGGTACTACACTTGTACGTTTGAGCGTTGCTTCTGTGAGGCAAGTATCAATACACCTTCCAGCACGACGGGGAAGGCTTTCTGTGTTTGGGGAAGTTCAATCCAAACAATGAGGAGCAGGGCGAGCAGGGCGAGCAGGGCGAGCAGGGCTGGCTGTTTGACGATTGGGTGTTGGAAAGGGGTGTTTGCCCAGCGCAAGTATGCATCGCTTGGGTGATTGTTCATAAGTGCGATACGAAATCGATTCAAATCGCACTCTTGTTGGTCGTTCGCAGCTGTCCTTGCTGTCTGCATGGTGCAGGATTTTGTATGGAAGGGCTACATACCATCTCTACACAGACAGTCCGTGTGCGTGCTTGGAGATGTTTTGGCTCTTGGGTTTCTATAGACAAAGAGAGTGACAGCGAACACATGCGACAACTGTCGTAGTCCAGCCAGGCTTAAGGGCTTCCAGCTAACTGGCCTATCATGGCAGGTCAAGTTTTTTTTGTGATTTTTTTTCTCCTGTGCTGTGCTCCCTACTGTCGTAGGAGTGGGACCCTTTGGAGAACTCCGTGAAGAAGGGCACCCAAGGGCTATGGCCGATGGCCTGGCCAGAGGCGCGCCATGGAGGTCGTGCAGATCGGTTGAGCGAACGACGCCAAGCGAGTGGCGTCGGGACATGGCGAGTTTGGTGGTATGTGTGACCACGGGTCAGGTTCATGGACCAGGTTGGTGTGTTTCCTGGTGGCCAATTGGCCCTTTGAAAGGTGGAGGACTTTTGCAGGTGACAGAGCACTGTATTACAGCGCCTTTTTTTCCGTCGCCACTTTGGCGGACTTAGATCATCAGATGAATTCTATACAGAGATTCTATATTCTATACTCTTTTCTAGTCTAAGTACTTGGATCCTTAAATTGTTCTTTGCGGTTGGAGATTTTGAGACCAAGACAGTGCCACACAGCAAGACTGGGCAGGGGCCGTTGTAGGTGTTGTTTGTGTAGGTGATTGGATGTTATTGGTAAGTCCGAGGGTGCTTCATAGGGCTTGGAGACCCTTGGAGACTGGTGACCAATCCCAATGATGGAGACCCTTGAAGACCCTTGAGATTTGTCACCAGAGAGGCAATGTCATGGTTTTCAGTGGCTTGCCTTCCAAGTTGGAACGATGTGTACCGGCGCACGGCAACCACCCGCATTGGCGACCGGCGCACGGCGCGGTACGCCGCCCCCAGCGGTACGCGCACGACTGCACGACTTGGACCTGATGTCCGACGCCTTCGCTGGATGAAGCTCGACAGACATCGTCGCAGTCGTCCAGGGCCGTCGACTGTGCCGAAAAGACCTGTCGCCGGTCCACGACGGTGCAGGAGCTCTTGGCGTCTCGCTCAAGCTGCCTGGACTCAGAGCCCTCAGAGAGTCCAGTCATTGACTCATGTAGAGTCGTATGATGTGGTATCTTAGTGGTGGATGATGACTGCCAGGGTGGGATAGTTCATGAGATCAAAATGATTCAAAATGGAAGTTCAGAGAGACAAAGCCGTCTCTGGAAGCTCTCGTCCGAAGCTTTGCCCGTGGCCTTTTGGCCAAGAGCGACCAAGCCTCGCCCATAGCAAGCGTCGCCTATGCGTCGCCTATAGCGATCCTCAGCTTTTCAGGTGTTATTTTCCCCATAGGGGCACTCCTTGTGCAGTGGGTCCTTCATGGGGGTCATTGGAAGAGAGGGGTGTCGAAGCGTGGCTGGCAGAGGAACAGCAGGAGATACAGCATGTCATACCAGAGGAGTTGCCTTGGTCGAGTTGGTGCTGCGATGTGGTGCAATTTGGTGAAATGAGTTCCCCCATCCTTCCCCGTCCTTTTCCCAAGCTTTCATCCGCAGGCTCCCACAGCTGGGCTCCCAGAGCCATGATGCCCCCCAGTGCCCCAAGTACAGACTCCCTGCAAAACCTCCCCCTCCATCCAGCCCGATTGACCTCATTCTGTCCAAATGATTGCTGGGCGCACTGTGGGTCTTCCTTCGATAACCGACGTGTAATGGTTGTTTCCACGCCCTACGGTACCTCCATCACCAGATCGTTGAATCGCAAGGAGCATCCGTGGTTCACTAGTGATCCCGGCCGATCAGCAGTAGAATTGGAACATCCCATGGGAGAATATCCGGTGTATGCCCGGCGCTTGACAAAGATACATAGAATCAATATATGCATTCACCACTTAAACATCCAAATATGATTGTATCCCCTTTCTCGCATCGCAGCAGCTTGGAGGTCGGCGGCGGTGGGGACTTGTCCTACAAGTGCGGGCAGAACGAGATGTTCGAGCGCATGTGTGCATGGGATGACCAGAACTATGTCATGGCCGCCGGAACCAAAGCAGGTGCGGAGCTCTTTTCGTGGCCAGTAGCTTCGGGTGAGGTCGGCTCAGGTCAGTCTTAAGCCCCCCAATTTGGGGATCTATAGGGGACCAAGTCTGTATTACAGACCGCGCTTCTACGTCGACCCCTTCCTGGAATTCCAATGTTTTCCTTACTTTCAAAATGACTCGGTGAGACTTGGGATGAAGTACACCAAGCTGTTGAGTTGTGCTGAAGGACCAGGTGTTTCAGTTGGCTGATTTGTTGGTTCCAATGTTCAGGTGGGAAAGCACCAAGTGATGATTTGACGGCAAACAATTGGCCCAGTGAGAAAGGCAAACTCGTGGCTTTGTCAAGAACTATTGGATCAGACCTAAGTGTCTGGCGCTGACCAAATCCAGTGGACTGAGATAACCAGAGAACTGATTCCACTGTCCACGGCATCACCATAAGAAGCAAAAGGCATTCCCAGTCTGATCCATATTGAACCTTAGGCTAATTGCAAGATTAAGCATATCCGCCAAGGGATATGATGTATGAGCATCCGACAAAACTTCCATACATGACCGTACATTATATGTTTGTATAAGTGTACTTTAGTCTCTAAATTGATCGAGACCTTGCAAAACGGAAAGGGGCCAACCCTATACCATGATACCCTTTCTTGATTGGCAGTAGCATTTTGCCTGCATTCCAAAACACTGGAAACCCATAGGGGCCAACCCCAAATACGTTTGGCATTGGGGACACAAAGAAGCTTTGTCCGCCACTCATACATGTTAACATATTAACTATATTTACCCTCTCATCAGAGAGTCCCAGGCAAAGTTTAACCTTTTCCTAGGGGTATCCTTTGCACATACTTAGACTTACTGGGTATATTTTGGAACTATATATATATAAACAGCATCATGTTTGATGCGTCCCCACGGCCACCGGTCTTGATCCATGCCAGGCTCAGACTCGAACACGACAGATGGTATTGTGGATGGCCACGCCTACACCGTGCACTGGGCGGAAACCCAGTGATTTTTCCATCAACGGTCAGAGGTGCATACACTCCATGTATGCAATACATGCTTACATTGGCCTGGAGTATGTTTTTTCTCTCAGTCCATCATCAAATCTCTAGAGAATATCAGGATCGAAAACATATGATGTGAACAGGGCAGCCGGTGCATATTTGTTGCATGTTGCCCAGATCTTTTTCTGGGTTTGCCGTATGTCGCGCTCGGAACTCAAAGGGAAGCACCCCGTTTCGGGTCAAGTGCATAATTCCTTAAAACGTAGAGGTGGCAAAATGGCTCCGGTTCAACAACAGTTTTTCGGCCTGATCTATCCACAAAAATCATAGACTAAACCCTGGACAGGCAGATTTTCGGCAGCGTGTGATCGCCCAGACGTCTTTCGCCGCAGCTTGATCGCGTGTGATCGCCCAAGGTGATCACTTGCCTGAACGATGTGGCAGGCACCGAGCACGATTTGGTGAAAGTGCGAAATCCCTGGGGCAAAGGCCACTTGGACATGAACACGAGCGAGTGAGCCGTTGAGCAGGTCCTATTCCGCGAGGTTCTTTGGTTCCTCAACTGTTTCTAAGAGATTCTAAGAGTGTATAAAAGGAGCATACAGGATCGAAGGTTGAGCTGGGGAGACTGCAACATAGCCAATGCGTCCGTATACATGGAGCTATACAGACCCAGATGTCATAGCCTCCCATAGTCCATTTGAGCAACTGCCATAACCTCCGATGAAGGCAGCGTCACTACAGTGAAGACTAAGTAAGTAAAATGAGGGACACCTTCAGGAACGATAAGGTTCACAAGAAAAACAATATGGTTTTAGTACTGGCTGTTAGGCGTGTCCAAACCCTCAGGAACGATAAGGTTCACGCAAAAACGATAACGTTGAGAAGAGTGCGCACTACAACACACAAGAGGTATTGCACGTCGCTCCTTTGTTGCTTGATAACGCAGTGCACCGTGCCCAGCTAGGAATTCGTTTGTGATTCGATTGTTTTTTTGTGCGTGTAATTGTATTATGCAATATATGTAATTGATTGTTTGCCATTTCTCGTTTGGAAGATTGTTTGCTTCGAGTCATGAGTGGATTGAACATTGGGCAACAGATTGCCTTTCAATGGATGTTTGCGCTGAAGCGAGACGGCATTTCTTTGACATGTAAGATACTATAGGATCAAAGTATAGTGGTTGCAGATTTGTTCGATTTGAAGTTGTTGCTGTTTGAGTTGAACTGAACATCGCACCACTTGGCGTTTCCCTGTTCACTTCCACCATCCCTCCACGCTCGGGCCGTGTGGACCGAGGTGAGTTCACTTCAGGCCGATGGTGCGACGATGGCCCCGGCTGGACGGAATTCCCCGAGGCCGGTTTGGACACGAGGAGGTCACATGGGGTGCGTTTTCTCCGATGAGGAACTTGTGAAAGCAACTGAACTACTAGCAGCTTTTGCGAGGGAGCTGAGGAGCAGGTGAGATCCATCATATTCCCCATTGAACTATATAACAGGGAGACATTCGGAGCAGTTAAGCAACTCCAATTTGCCAGAAACTCAATGGGACTGGAATATTTGCCGCCCCATTGACCCCGTTTCAACCACCCCAATGTATGCGAATGTATGCCAGCACCACGAAAAGGATGTTTTATAGACACCCCTGACTATGTGTTTTCCTTCCAATAACCACCCTTTGGGTGGCCTGGTGGCTGTCCTAGACAGGTTGTGTCTGGGTTTCTCAGGTCGCGGCGGTGTGCAAGCCCACCAAAGCCAATGATGGAGTCTTCTGGTTGAGCAAGGCGCGAAGGGGAACTATGAAAACACCTGTTCGGAGCCGTTCGAGTGGGAACTTTCAACCAGTGCAGAAGATTGCAGGTCCATTCATTTGACCACAAGAATGCAGACAAATGCAAACAAATAAGTGCTGACTGTTGATGACTTAAAGCCTCCATATGAAGAGATTGTAGAATCCAAAGAGGGTGGGTGGAGTTATGAATCAACAGCTTACAGTTTCTATGGAAGCAAACCACTTTGAGACGAAATGGGATCCCCATTTGTACCTGTAAGTTGGTCTCTTGGGACATCCTACGAATGAGCTCGATGTCATCCTACGAATGAGCGAGTCAATGTATGTATCCTTACTGCAAAACCTCTTAAAAAGGACAGACGGCAATATAGATTCGGTTCACAGTTTAAGAGTTTCTCCATAGAAGAAGAACACGCAATTTGAACATAGACTCGTTCGTGGTAAACATTAACATGCCACAGCCACAGTAGTTCTTCAGAAATTAAGCTCGGATCCAATGCTTAGAAACATATCAGATACTGTATATTCAGATTCTATTTGACCTTCACAGCTCCGGGAAGCTCTCAACAGCGGCCGCAGTGTCTGCGCAAACTCTTTCGCCCCTAAAACCGTCATAAGACCGCGGCCAGCTCGGAAAATCACGGTCGGATGGCGGCCCGAAAACGTGCCGTTTTGGGTGGTGTCCTTTTCTAGGCGGAGTTCTTCAAGTACTTCAAAACCATCTATCTTTGTGCTCAAGACATGAATGCCTTTATTCAGTGAGGCGGTGGAACCGCTCTCATGTCGACGACCATTCTTGATGTGCTACGAAGCTGGCACACGTAGTATCTACGTCGACGCGTATTTTGCAGTTCAGTGGGTCGCATCGAGTTCATGGACGAAAGCCATGCCATATGTAATGCCATGTAGGCACGGTTTCAACATCCTTGGGCCGAAGTGGCACGCGTGGGGACGGGACGACCGTAGCGATAGACATTTGAAGGGCAAAGTCCTGAAGCGACACGCCTTTTTTCTGCGTTTGGCTACAGGTAGTGCATGGCCTGCAGGAAACATGTGTATGGCCTGTAGAGAGACATCCCAGTTCGACCCTCTGAAATAAGGGACATAGGGCAGTCTATAGATATTGGGCCAGGGGTTATTATGATATACAAGCATATATAATTAAACATTATCATATCAAATACGCTACATGTCCTGTATGGCCAAACATATGGCCATATCATTGTAAGATGATTAATTAAACATATATAATCCAGCCCTCTTCACGTCTAACAAAGACCCAAGGGGCTGAGGCATTGATCAATCTCGACCTGTGAAAACACTTGGTGGAGCTGTCAGGTGTACCCAAGGCCCAGTCCGACGGTCATCTTGGTGACACCATCAATCCTAGACACTCCGGACTCCAGACTGGAATATAGATGTGCACGGTTTCCAATACATGTTTAGTGGGATGTGCTTTTCTATCTATTTGGTGATATATATTTTATACCTACCAGGTGGTTGAACAAGGGGTGACAAACATGTCATAGATGGAGTGTTTGGGGATGATTGTATTGGTAGCAAAGTTGGTTCTCTAACTCTCTAACTGTTGTAAGGTATCATTGTGCTTGCGCATGGGCGCATTGTGCATCACTGCTCACTGAACCCTCCCGTGGCAAGATCGCAGAAGACGGACTCTTGCAGTTTCTCCCCCGGGCTGGGGTGAAGAAAAAGCAGCGAAGCAGCGAAGCGTCGTGACGCGGACCAGTCAGGAGTGACGAGTCGACGATGTCTGGTGCTTGGGAGGGCGCGAGGGGTCCGAGCCGGGACGATCCATCTTCCCTTTGAAACAGGTCCGATTTCGGAGCTTCCTGTTGGGAGTCCTCCAACCAATTGCTAGTTATAGTTGAGAGGTCAGTAGGTTCTCCTGATTTCTGGATCCTAACACTTCGCCAACTTCAGGTGAGGCACCTCTCTTCAGGTGACGCACAGTTCTCAAACAGCGGCTCTTTGGTCACCACCACCCGGCCCAGCAATGGCATGAGAAAAGCACCGGCCTCCTTTCGAACTGGGTGTGCGAGACCACGCGGGGTTTATTCCCTATGGATCCACATACCCTGAGGAGCTCAGGTGATGTGTTCGACACTGTGATTTGCCGGTTCCAGGGTCGGGTCCAGTCGTAGGGCAGGGTGGGTCATTGGTGAAGGGGTCAGGGGTAGAGGGCAGATTCTGTCGGCGTGTGGCGAGTGACCAAGGGGAACAGACCAGTCTGCCGTCTCTGTAGTCAACACCCGGTGTGGCTGTTGCCAATGCCGTCGAACGAGTCTGCAATTTTTGGAGTTGAACCCTTTGTGCACAAGGTGCTGGCACGTTTTTGTTGGGGATTTGGAGCATCCAAATCTTTGGCAGACTTGATCATGTTGATGCCAGAACTTGTTTCTTTGGAAGGGCAAGATCCCAACAATGCCGGATCATGGATGTGTGTGTTTTTTCTTCTCGTTGACGAGCCGGCCGGTTCATGTCCAGGTGGACAGCCACACCGCTGACTCCTCCCGTAGGTCCGCTCCGAAGGGATGCGATGAAGCGATGAAGCGCGGTTTCGACATGTTTCGATCTTTGGCCGGGAATTCGCCTGATCTTTTTGGGGATCTGATCTGATATCAGAGCGGCAGGAAGAATGAACTGAGCAAGACGGGTGCTTTTTCGCAAGTGCGATGAACTGACATGAGAGCTAAAACAGATGTGTCAATCTATCATGTTTTTTTGGCAATGGGTAGGCAGGTAATGTTGATGATTTGGACCATTCCTCTCGATCAAGCAGAAAGAAACCACGACACTCAATGATCCGGTTACTTTGGTGACGTGTTGTGTCCACCACATGTGTGAGGGATTTGCTGTTCTTTTTCCCCGGGGTGGATGGTGACCGGCAGAAAAAGCCGCAGCTGCACAGCAGCTCCAAACAAGCGCACGAAGTCACGGAGATCTGGGATACAGGATGACCCAGACGCTCCAGGTGTGCCATATATGCCGATCAGTTGGGATAGTTTTGGGGGCAATGTAGGCATATATATATTGTGAAATCCACACGTGACACAACCAGGTCAGTTGTC